TTCTTTTTCGAAAAGATGCGACTTTAGAAAGTAACCATAAAACGGTTTTTATATAAGAAAAACATAATTTTTTGAAAAAACGGTTATATCGAAAAGACACAACTCTTCATTAAACGATTATATAGGAAAGACGCACGTCTTAATTAAACGGTTATATCGGCAAGACGTAACTCTTGACAAAACGGTTATATTGAAAAGACACAATTTTTGAAAATAACCGTAAGTAACTACTAAACAGTTTTCTACGAAAAGTCACGACCCAAAAATATTCATTTTTTTTTGTTTGCTATTATATATAGATTTGAGCCATTAAAAATTCTCATTTTTACTATTTGATTAATTACTTTATTTTGTTAGTTTTTTCATTATCTCTGTTTTTAAACTCTAAGATCTTCATATGATTGGGAACTGTATCATCAATTCATCATATTCTGATCAGCAACAAACTTGGGTTTTGTAGTGACAACCAGACAGAAACAATTTTTCTGTGTTATGCTTAAGCTTTTCTTTCCATGACCAGGATCATATACATCTCTCTTCGATGCATTAGCAAGAGAATATGGTTCCTATAACCCATTTCCAAAAGCCTTTTTCCGACCATTATCGAAATCTTCCAAAGCTGTTAAGGAGAGAGGCTGTAATGATGATCAAGTCTATCGTTGTACTTAATCGGCTGGAATACCTGTAAATCGCTATCAATCAGCCAAGTTCTAGATGGAATGATGTGTTCTTCAACATAAGGCAATCCTGGACAAGTAGTTCCACCAATCCTTTCCTCCTTGTTGTGTTTGTATATCTCTACACTGCAAATTACAAAGCAAAGATTCATCTAAAATGTCAATTTACTTTCTTTTTTTTTTTTTTAAACAAGGTTACACGAATCAACAAAGGCAGCAAAATTCATATACAAAAGAACCGAGATTGAAGTCCATTAATGTCAAATTGTTTAATTCAATGCCTCCGTAGCCATCAAATAAGAATCTCAGTACACTACAATCAGATTTAACCATTATGATATATATATATATACCTTGGGAGATAAGTAAAGCGATGATATCTCCTTGAGGTCTAACAAGAGTAACATTGTGGGATGATCCAATATGTTCCTTTGTCTCATCATCAATGGCAAGAAGAATAGGAAGCGACATGTTTCACGTCTTTTAACCTAAGACAATTCAAATGCAAACTTTGCAGATACTCGTATTCTCTCATGAACCCTTTTAATTGACTAACCTAACCTTGGCTAATCACGTGTACCCCACTCCTCCAAATCAATCTTCGTCACCTTCACTTTTTAATTTTCACTGAAGAGTAAGAAAATTGTAGTTTCCAATCTTTCATGAGGAATTATACAGCTCAATATACCAAATAGGAAACTGTGTGGTAGCTAGAAAATCTCTGCTTCAGCATCTAGAGTTCGAATATGCCTCCTCTAGAAGCATCTAACTACATATCTCACATATACGCAGAGCATGATTCTCATACCAACTAGAGAAAGACTTCCTTGCCGAAATTAACAAAAAAAGAACTGAAGCAAAAGGAAGACTCAAGTCACCTTGATTAACAATTGTTCCACTTCCCCTAGTATTAAAGTTTCTTTGCTTCAGTTGTAAATGAAAAAGACAACTTTTTCAGTTAGATTTATAATAGATAAGTGATGATTCCCCCCCCCCCCCTTAAAGTAGAAGAAGCTTTATCATTCCTGAAAGAAAGAATATATACCTGATCTATCTGGTCACATCAGAAAAGAAAGAGATTAGTAAACAAATGCAGATATAAAAGTTGGTTCTAAACCCTTGGCCAACGATTAGGTATAGATCCAAGCTTCTACAATCTGCATCCTTCAGTAACAACAATGATCATTAGTTTTTAGCTTTTACTATTCATCAATTCAAGCTAACGCAAGCAAACCAAGAAACAAAATAATTAGAGTAATGTAGTCTTTATACATGAGTCTCAAGTTTCTTCTCCCCAGCAGCAAGCGTTCTTGTAACTTGAGCGTTTTTGTAGCCTAAAACATTCCATTTTTATGTTTAAATTATGAAATAAAATCATCTTGCTCCCCTTATAAGGTAACACTAAGAGTAACTCTAAACTGTCGGCAAACAAATAAAAGCATTCGGTAATACCTCTAATCCGGCCAAGCGTGCATGAACTTCCATTCTAGTATTGTCATGCTTCTGTTTTTCAAGGTCAGCAACTTCCATCATGTTTGTTTGCAACTCCGCAGCCTAAACAAAAGGTGAGAAACATAGCATTTATGGTCCGTCAAGCTTTAGTACAAATATCAAATCACATGATAGGAGTTTGAGCAGCTTCTATCATATTTTATGAGCGACGTTAACATAAATCAATCAAGTTCCATGACTTAAAAGCAAGAATCTAAAGTAACTACGCCTTGGAAAGAGTATATAAACTAATACTAAAAAGTCCAGAATAACTCAACTAAGAAAAATAAGAGCAACCCATTTCCTGAGAAGTCATAGAAGGAGCCGAATGAAATCATAGCAATGAAACAGGACTTCCAGATTTTGAAGATGTCTTAAACACCTGGTAATGGGTCTCCGGCTTCTCAACCTTTCGAGGAGACTTTGCTGCCTGCTGATCAATCTGAAAAGCATAGTTTACCCAAATTAGCATACCCAAGTTATACTATAATCATTGATGAACCAAATCAACCAAGTTCCATGACTTGAGGAATAATCTTAAGTAACTTGTCTAAAATGCTTAAAATTAGACTGAAAACTGCAGATGAATGTGTAATAGAACTCAACTCAGAAAAATCAGAACAAGCGAATTCCCGAGAGACGAATGAGAAAACAGCAAGCGAACACGCAAACTTTGTGGAATGAGATCAAGTAGATTAGACTCAACTAGAGATTCTCGAGGAGAAGGCAAGATTCTAAAATAGGATAAGTAGAAGTTGGAGCTTGGTTCCGGAGACAATGCAATGAACAGATGGTGTAACCAGTTGATTTAGACTAGTCCAAGCCTGGATCACATCAATTTCACATGAATCCAGGAAACATATAAGAATACAATTCTAATACAAAATCCTTCCACTAGACTGTTTTCCCGGAAACTAAGACATCAATCTACGAAGGGATTTCAAATCCGATAGAGAGAGTCCCAAAGCAAACCATCCAAAACATAGGGATCGAAATCAAACTAGAACCCAACGACTTCCAAATCCGGTTATTACATGGAATTTTTCTATGCGAAAGAAAAAGAGAAATGAGATTCGACATTTCACCTGTTGAAGAATCGTTTCGGCGGCTCTGAGCTTCGACGAGATCCAATTCGCCATTTTCTTCACTGCCTTAGAGAAGAAGAGTGGTCCATTCCATACGACACCGTTTTCTCACCCAAGCGCATCAGAGAAGACGAAGAAGATGAACTGGTAAGTAGCAAACCCGACGGACTCCACACTAACCGAACCGAGTCCGGTTATACTTTCCGGTTTATAATTCACATCGCATCTGAGCCGTCCAGGATAAAAAAGATCCAACGGCTCCAGATCACCGAAAAATAACCGCCTTCCTCATTGATATATAGATTTCGAATATCACCTGCGAGATTTCTCAACTCTCCATAGCTCTCACACTCAACACACAGAGGAATTTCTTCCGAGATTGATTCAGCTTCAGAGTCGAAACACCCAAAAGGTATGGTGTTCTTTAATTGGTTCTCTCTGCTGTGTTTGATTCGTCAAGTTTTCTCAGATTTTCAAAGTTGTTTTGGAAATTAGGACTTGAGAGATTGTTACGATTCAGAATTCGCGAATGAGAGATCTGGAATTTAGGAAATGAGAGATCGATTAGGCTTCGAATTTCGGTAATGAGGTTTTCTGGTTCATGAATCGAAATTGTCTCAATTGTTAGTGTTGGATTCTTCTCAAATGGGGGAAAAACAATGTTATCATCTCTGGATTGAGAATTGGGAGAGAAGAATAAGACCTTGAAGGGATTTGGAATTTGATCGATCAGTTCTAAGCATATAGAAGGAAGTTATCATAGGATTCAGAGGCGAAATTGTCATGCTCTCAATTGTTAGTGTTGGATTCTTCTCATATGGGGAAGAACAATGTTATCATCTCTGTGGAGGAATTCGGGGTTGAGAATTGGGAGAAGTTTTAAGCTCTTGAAGGAATTTGGACGATCAGTTTTAAGCTCATAGAAGGAAGTTATCATAGGATTTTGTTTGAGGATCGAAATTGTCAATGGTTAGTGTTGAATTTTTCTCAGATGGCTGGGAAGAATGTTGTAATCTCTATGGGGGAGTTTGCGGTTGAGAATTGGGAGCAGATTAAGATCTTGATGAGCAAACGAAACACATCCCAGAAACAGGTTAATGAGATAACTCCTACTGGTGATTATATAATGATGTATCTAACTTGATGTTTATCTATTTGGCTTTCTAATTCCTTTTAGACGTAGGATTTATACTTGTGTATATATATATATATGCTTCTTTCATAATTCCTCTTATTTCACAGGTCAATCCTCTCGTCGTCAAGACTGAATCGGTGTCGGTGGTTAGCAAAGAAGAGCCAAAGGAGGAGAGTGTTGCAAGCAAGATCCAGAAGGCTTTTC